ATTCTTAGCAACTTTTGCTCTATAAAGTTTTTTCTGAAAGTTAATACTTTTCAACTTATTCGCGAGTGAAAGTGTAATTTTTTTAACCAAAAAAAAAAAAACACTTTTTCAGACGGTTTTTATTTTCATTCTTATCAAAAATGTAGCTTATAAAAATACAAAAAGAATGGTTTATTTATGGTGTCTGTAGACCCCAATATAAGCGGAGTAATAGCTTGTTGAATATTGGTTCTTATTCGTCAAACGCCGAAATTGAAAGTTTGAACATGAAATAACCAAAAACCGATGCATTTTTCAGGGAAAACTCATAGAACCTTTTTTAAAGTGCTTGAAAAAAACCTTTATTTTCATTATTTTATTAAAGTCCCTAGCATCAAACCTAAGCGAGTTATGACGAGAATAAAGTTGGTCTGTATTTTTTTCGGGAAAAAAAAACGTGAAAATCACCCCCTAATTACCACCCCAATTGAAAATAATCGTTACCACTTTACAATTTACTTTATTTATGTACTTGTAATTTGCTCTAGAAGTTTCACCGGTTTAAAGTGCTTAGTTTTGAATTAAGTTGAGCTTGAAGTGAAAAGAGAATTTTTGTATTTTTGGAAAAAATTGCTTTTTCTTCAAAATAACTCAAAAACTGTTAATGAACGCAAAATTTTTTAGAGTACAAAATTGTAGATTTTGCTTTCTTGAAAATTTTGTTTTTTTTCTGTGGGATAAAAATTAAGTAAGATATGGCCGTTTAAAGTTTGCATATTTTCATAAATAACAACTTGTTCAAGCCCTTTCAGCTCATACCGTTACAAAAATAAGGGCTGAAAGGATGTACTTTTATTCTCTTTGAAATGAATGTCGATGAAAATAAAATTTTTTCAACATTATGTATATTATTTTGCTTCATTCCGCTCAATTTCAATATGGGTCGGCTGATATCTGTGTAGATCTTTTATTTATTATTCATGCATTCAACTAAAGTCTGTTACGCGGTGCTATAAGGTGTTTACACATCTCATTCGCTTGAAAATGTTCCGTAAGTCCTTATAATTCAGAAAAGTCCTACCTTTGATGTAAACACAGAACAAGGAGACAAAAAAATATTGTTTGTTTAAGAAACGAGGTGACCGTGGTTTTCCACGCGAGCTGACGCAGCTGGACCTCGAACGTTTATTGTTTACGATAGATTTTTAAACATTAGCCGATACATTTTATGAACTGAAATAGTTTTCGATTTTAAGCAGTTAGTTGTGTAAGATTTGGTATTTTTCGTAGGGAGAAATAAAGGGTTGAAAGGGGTAAGAAGGGTAAAATTCGGTTGTCAATTATTACGTTGAAAACATGGTGAATATTTGTTACTTATCTTGCGGGCGTAAATATATTTGTAACTAAAGCAAAATGTAAATACCTCAGACAAATATGGCCTCTTGTCGGGCTTTCTTAGTGAGTGGCCACTATATACGCCTGTAAATGATTGGAAAGCATACCTGAGCACCCTATTATCTAGTTAATAAATGAATCAATGATTACTGAGTATGTCCTTTGCCTCTATTTGAAAATATGACTGTGTCTATTTAACATTAGACAGGGTGTGATATTCCCACTGCACAATAGATAAGCAACTGTAATACTACTTATCACCAAACTATTCTGTATATTAAGCATATAAGCAAATCTAAGCATTTTCGTACTGTTCTTGACACCACTCCCGATGTCAACTCCAGGTGTGCAATGGATGTTAGGGGCAAACACACAAAACACCCACCCAGAGTGCCCCCGTATTGTGGCACCAATTAGCCTGAGAACACTCCCCCGACTAACCCACTCGCACCCCAAGTACCGTGGCCAAACATCACAAGACTCACTCAAAAACATTATCCATGGATCTCTACACTGTCAGTACTGACGAGCAAGACAAGTAAAATGCCTCAAATGCATAGACAACTTATTCACATCAAATGTCATTAAACTTACTAGTAACTGGCCAATCAATTGTGCAGATTTAGCACCTCAATTCATAACAGCAATTCCTCAACAGTTACTAACACAAAATAATCCGTCATATAACAACTCTTATTGTTACTCAAATGACATTTTACTTTATTGGGTATACCCGAAATATGACGACTAATCTATGCAAAAGACACTTAATTATTTCTTCAAAAGAATATGCAATGATGCTCGTCAAATCAAATATCTAACTTCTCAATAAGATTGACAACGTCAATTTATATAACATAAATAACTACTCTGTATTTTTTTCACTAACATTTTTCAAAACTTGAGAAACTTGATATTAAGCATTTTCCTTGAAAAGAAAGGGTGCATATCAGATAACGAAAGAAGGGAGTTATTGCCAGAACCAAGTTTTTGAAAAATCAATTCATATTTTTTTGTCAACTTTTCTAGTAACGCTGCGTCATACTTTATTTTTCAAATTTTAAAACGAGGGTTTCAGCTATCGAACTCGTATAAAAATACAAAGAGCGATTTGTCTCTATTCTGGTACAAATCCACGATTCATTTCGGAGTAGAAAAAAGCTTTTGTGATCCCATCGCTTTATCCTATTTGAATTATGGCGCTATTCAACACCGGCTTTATGCTTAGGTATGGAAAATATTCACTGAATTTACGGAACAGCGGAATATTTAAAGGTACACGAATTAAAAGTAGGTAAATCCGTATACTAAAATTTGACTTTTATGTAAAAGTCTTGTAATATATTTCTCAGTCTGCTGAATCTCCCCTGCGCAATATCTTTAAAGATATTATTTGAAACATGAAATAAAACTGAATTACTTCGTGATAAGAAAAAGTGAAAGCTGGAAAAATTTGGCTATTTATAAAGCCAAATGTAATTTCGAATTTTCCTTCAAGGATGGGAAAAAATTTTAAAAGGACATTTTTTTGTGTATACTTTGTTAGAATAAAATAAGAAGAGATGAAATTGTCCTTTGTCAAGGAAATCTTCACTATTATATTAGTATGAAATAATAAGTAAATCTATGAACAAGAAAAGAAGTAGATTATAAATTGACAATTAAAAAATATGTAAACATGGCGTTTTAAAGTAACGAATAATACAAAAATAAAAAAACTACGAAATTTAGACATTTTCTTCTAAAATCTATGGAATTTTTAGGCTACATAAATATTTTTGGAACATAATTATATAATTATGTCCTGTAGCAAAATAGAAAGTAAATACACAGACAATATAGCTTATCACCTCAGACCGCGCTTCAAATGCTGGAAATTGTCTTCTACTCGGTAATAGGAGGCAGTTCTAGCGGTGGCTTTGTTGCCAAATAATAACTGCCAAATAAATTTAATGCATTTAATTATGTAATTGAAGAGTTATCTGGACCTTATCTTTTGTTTGGAAATGACATTTCTGTTAAATGCTAAATAAAATAATTCAAGTAAGAATTAAAACTATGAATTTACCTTATTAATTATTTAGTTGAAAATAATTTAAAAAATATAAAATTTCCTTAAGAATAGTACCTTAATTTTTTATTTAATAAAATTGTTGGAACCTCAAGGGGTGGTTGAAACGAAATTTATTTAAAAAAAAAACAACAAATCATCAATCAATGAGAGATAAGATAATGCGTTCGATACTGCTGTTGCAATTATTGACTAACTTTTTTGTTTTTCGACAGAGGACTTCTGACCTTTTCCATTCAACCCAGAACGGATAATCACAAACCGGGGTGTGGGGAGATTTTTTTAATTATTTTTTCGATTCAACGCACCGGTTCCGAGTTATAAGACCTTTTTTATTGTATCACCTCACACACCTCTTGTTTCCGAAATTTATTTTCCACATACGGACTTCGAACCCTTTGCATTCAACGCAGAAGGAACAATCAGGACCGGGGGTGTCGGGAGATTTTTTTCAATTGTTTTTTCGATTCAACGCACCGTTTCCGAGTTATAAACACTTTTTTATTCTATGATGTCCCACACCGTTGGTCCCGATTTTTTTTTCGACATGCGAACTTCGGACGTTTTTCACTCGATCACCAATCAGAACCAGGGGCGATTTTTTAATATTTCAAGACGTCATTTCCAAATACTGTTTTATTTCTTTTATATATCACATCAACAAAATTCTTTACACTCGTTTCCACACCACCTGTGGAGGAGGATCTTTACAAATAAGAACAACTTAAATCCAGTTGTACACCACTGGTTGAACCTTTAAAGCTCATATTTTAGGGAATGTAAGGCCTACTGTCATACATTACCAGTACCAAATATTATTGAGATCGGTTAATAGATTCCGGAGATATAAACAAACAACCAATTTTTTTTTAACAACTTATAACCAACACCCTACATCTCTGAAACGGGCCTGTTCCAGATCAATGTTTATAGGGCAAACACATATTATTTTAAGGAGATACATCTGCCCTCGAAGTTTCCTGAATAAAATTCGGTTTTGAACACGAAAGGAACAGACGCAATCATTTATTATTGATTGTCATAAAAACTATGTGCAATTTTAACATTTTACGTGCTATTGCGAACCTAGTAGGTCGAACAACAAGGCCAGTAATGAAGAATAACAATAAATAAAAAAAAATAGAAGCGAATTTCAATTGTATGCCTTCTTTACACGCTAGAGTGGAATCAAACAAATAAAACCAATGAGAAAATGATTGGTCGCCCGCTTAATATGCTGTTGAAACAACAATTTATATAACACAATTTATTACCTTAATTTCCGTCGATTCATTAGCTTTTTCCTCGGTTTTCTAAAATATCCGATATCAGGACTAATTTATTGCCGCTGAATACATAAATAAATTTTAATCCAGTTACCATGAATTAGAAATAAAAAATCCTCAAATTAAAAGCTTTCATTTGGACCTCATAAAATTCAACTTAGGCACCAACTCATTTCAACTTTCGACTTAATGAAGACGGGAGAGTTGTGTTTAAATTAAAAATATCTACTTATTCAGAAATCGAAATGAATCCGTATATTCGGTTCCAGCTGGAAGATCAAGTGCATAATATAATGCCGAGGGTTCCCGTTCCCCTCCAAGAGGCATCAGTCCGACTCCTGAGCAAGGACACCAGGCAACGACCTACGGCCCAACTATTAACCCTCATCAAATATTTTAGGTAAGTTTAATATTGTAACGAATTTGAAATATTCATGTAGAAACTCATATGAAAATATTGCCTGACCGAACTTTAAGTCGTATACAAATTTTAATTATTATTATAGCAACACCAAATTTGTATAAAATTATTACTATGCATATTCTGGATATAAAAATCTTTTAATTTTATTCTTAAGTACCTACAGAATAAATTTTCATAAAATGCATGACGTCGACACTTGTTAGTACTCAGTACCTACATAGAGAAAAACAAATCTAAACCTAGAGTGACTTATATCGAATGAAAGTTTAAAGTCTATAGATTAATCTAGTATACATATCGTTGGAAGACGAGTAAATTTTAAAAAAGATATCTCAATCCAACATAAACCGTAACATGAAAAGTTTCATCAATTGTCAAATTTTATAATAAATTTCACAAATATCAAAGTTAAAGGTGGCTTTGTAAGAATGCCCGGAGATGACGTAAAAACATAAAATAAAGAATATTTTATTAATTAATTTATAGAATTGTATATAAAAATAAAAGGACATTTGTTAAAAATATGTTAGTTATAAGTAGTGTTGTGAAAAAGTGATTGAAAAGGACATCCAAAAACTGAAAAATTCTGTGTATGGACTTTAAGCAAAGCTAAGGACAGAATATTCAGGAGGGATGAGAAAAATAAAAAATAATGATTCGCTACGGCTTGGGTTTTGCAAGATGTACAGCGTGGAGAGGCAGCTCCCGAAAAATTAAAAATAAAGCAAGAAAAAACAGTCCAAGAAAGAAAATTAAACAGTCACCAGTAAAATCCACAGTTTGCCAGAGAAAGTTATTTTGTCATCCCATGAAAATTTTCCGCTACCAGCAGTATAAAGCAGTTCCAAAGTAGTTTCCAGTGGCCCCATAAATAGTCTGCAAGGCCTCTACGTAGTTTCTAGCAAAGAAAACTTTAAATTTTACAACGTACCAGGTACCTAAAACACAGTGCACTATAATATTGCTAGCTATCACCAATAAATCATGCTTTCTCTCACATCGCATCAAATCTTTGCAAAGTATAAATAACAAACCACAGGACGTACCTGTACAGAAATAAGCATAATCCAATCACTTGTAACTTAAATATTTCACTATTTTCACGAGATCTAACAAAATCTGCCAAATGAACAGCCATTTTCGTTCCTGTGTAGATATAATAGATGCCCCTGTCTAATAGGAAACAAATAATATAAGGAGACGTACTCAGTATTACATACATCAAATAAAGTTAGTTAATAGTTAATTTTTTTTTATATATAATTATTCCTTATATTGTTTGTAAGGTGAGCCGAAAAAAAGGCAAATTTTGTTATAAAATATTCTTTGTTGTGGAAAACATATTACATATAAAAAGGTATTCCTAACTTGAGTTTTCAAGTATAAAGTCATATAATAAATTTTTGATTAAACACTTTATTGAATTTCAAACTCTCTATTCATTCCATAGTGTATTGCATTGTACTAGTTTGTGTGTAAATATAGTACCGACTCCTGAGGTTTTCTGATATTGTCTGATATGTAACAAGTGTCTACCAACCAGCTGGTCAGGGATAAGAAAGTACAAAGTAAGACATAAAAGATAGTAGAGGTTTGTATGGAACAATTTACAGTTTAATTAAAAAAAAATTAAAATAAACACACACACACACACATTGAAATTATATTTCAATATATTTCAGGATTGGTATATCGGGTAGTCATGAAAGTATTGTCACTGAAATATGTGTGTTATTTTTTAAAAACCATACAGAGTACACAATATGTATGGAATAACATTTAAAAACACCCTGTATAAAAAAAATCCATACAAAAGCCTTTTGGTTAAATTTTTTGCGTCCTTTTTTAACCTGCGTTTGTTTTGGAGCCAGTAATTTCGTTGCCGTGGTAACCATTTTGTTTAAAACATGCAAAAATCTGAACTCAGGAGCATTGCAGAAGAGAGGGCGTTGCCCAGTAAAAATTGTGACCCTTTCTGTGTAACGTCAACTTGTCAACGTGACCTAAGTCTATCTGTTTAAATATGTGAAGGAAGATCTGCATTTTGAGTATCTACCGAAGAATGATTTTAGCTCTTTGATAGATATTGCAGACGTAAATAAGTACTGGACGGAGTCTGTAGTCAGCAGAGTAGTAGTTCCCATAGTATCATTTGTTAAATAGATCTTATTTAATATCAATTATTATTATACCGGGACCTGCACTTGCATGACAACTAAGTTCATCAAATCAGATAAATAATGAGTTAAAGATTTAAGATATGGCCACTAGAATCACCAAATTTCAGTCGCAATGATTTTCTTTATAATGCCATCTTAAATTGTTGATGTACAGCTGTAGACTTCCCAACCTACACTGTTTAAAGAAGTTTAAAAAAAAAACAGTTTAATAATGGGCCATAAGCAGTTTAAGATGGAAATTTTGTTGTTCACAGCTGTACGTGAATTAATTGCTTCGATTTTAACAGTGTTGGGAGACTTGCTCAAATTGGCAATATACTGTACTGAAACTTATAAGAAAAACACATTATATTCTATTTTCCTAAAAAGTGGTCGGAATACAATATTTAAAACGCCTTTTAGGTCGATGACACATTTGAGGAACAAATTTCCTGAAATTTATTGCATACAGGACGTGTATAATCTATAAAAATTAAACTACAGCTTCCTGACGATATTTGTAATAGAAAAGTCATATACGAATAAGTTCTATCTTCGCGTTTTTTTTTTTGTAAATTAAAGTTCATTTATTCAACGAATATGAAGACCGACCCTGTGTTATTTATTAAAAACTTTGGAAATGTTCTTATGCGACCCGAGATGTAACCTTATAATTTAAGTCGGTATAATCTAATACTAGTAATACCAAAAGAAGGTTAGGTTACATTGTCAAAAAATGTATGCAGTCAACTGATTTTGTATTTATATTGAATTTATTATTCACTTAATTATTAAATATTAGGCATCATCCATCGACCTATCAGTATTAAAAAGTGAAAGATTCCAGACAAAAGTTTTTATTTTGTAATTCCACAATAGTGACAGTGTAATTTTTAAAAAGAAGTAAAAAATAAGAATAGCGTGCCGATTACATTAAAAACGAGATTCTTATTTCTTACATTGTTTAATTTTTTAGTTTGTGCACAAACTAGTTTTACAATGAACCGAGAAAACAATGCATTTACTATTTCCGAACGTGTCGATATGGTGTTAGTGTGCAGCCGAAGAAAATGCGCTCGCGGCGACTAGGTTGTACCGGGAACGATGGCCACAACGTCACCCTCCGGGTGACGGGATACAGGAAGTGTTATTCCTCGAGGAGAAGGACGCGGTCAGCAAGTGAACTAAATGTTGAAGATGCAGTGTTGGAAAATCTTGACGAAGACCCCACAATTAGTACTCGACGACTCGCACAGCAAGTAGGAGCCTCATCTCGTACGGTGCACCACTATCATCTGCAACCAGTTTAACGGATTTTACCCCCGATTTGTGATCATCAAATACGTTTTTGCAGATGGTTTTTACGGCAATGTGTCAATCAAGTAGACTGGGTGCATCGGTGCCATGCCTGTATCCGCGCTAATGGGGATCAATTTCTCTAGAAATGGTAAGTTTTATTTCATTTTGTTCCATATTTTAATGGAGTTTGTTTAGTGCACGCAGTTGGCAACTACAGATGCTTACAATGTTAAGATAGTAATTATTATTAATTATTATTATTATAATAAGAAAATATCACCTTTTTTTTAAATATCTATTTTTCTTAGTTTGTACTTTAGCATTGAAAAATTCCCCAAAAATTTAAGAAGTATCTTTCTATGATTCAACGACGATTTGTTTACGCGGCTGGTCTACAGCACGTAACTCATCGTACAGCACATGGACAGGACCGTTCCAGAGAAACTTTTTTGATCCATAGTTGCAATTTACGAAAAAAAAAACGCAAAAATATAACTTTTTTGTATAAGACTTTTCTATTACAAATATCGTTAGGAAGCTGTAGTTTAATTTTTATAGATTATAGACGCCACACCCCGTATAACAGGAAACTTGTTTCACTAACGTATAGCTCGTGTAAAACAAGAAAACATAGTTTGTTTCACATACATGTTTCATACAACACGGCATGGGCTGTTTCCTGTTATTTGTTTCGCAAATTTGTTGAATTCGGGCGATTAAAAATATCAGTGGCGGGAAGAGAATTAATGAAACATATGCGATGTATCGGTAAATTGTTTCACCGCTATGTTCCGAACAAGAAACAATATTTCATGAAAATTGTCTCTTCATTATGTCATCGGCCTTATCAGTGGTCATCACATGAAATAAATGTTTTGTTTCACTAAATAACATACATTCGTCAAAATATTTCAGCTGTCAATCTAAATCTGAATTTACTTTATTTATATTGTTGACCTTTTTTACATCAAAGCAAGCTTTGATCGAATAAAAAATTGACCTGTGTACGTTTTCCTCTTGCTTCGTATAAAAAAGATATAAAATGTGGGAAAATAACGTATAATCCTCTCAACGTGTTAATCGATCCAGGTGCTAGTTTGGTAACGTTTAGAAAGGCTTATAAATAAAACTGTTTCTAGTTAAAAATTTCCGAAGTATTCGAGTCCACAAGACGGCGATTATACTCAGTAATAGTTCAATGGAAAATTTATTCACACAAATCCGTAGCAAATTATTCTTGAAAAGAAGCTGCTGCAGCGGATGCAAATTTTTGACACAAATAGTACCAAGTTTTCAGTTTAGTCACACTGATTTAGTCAAGTACAATGGCTCTAATGGCCGAAGTTATTCTTCTTGTTTGAAAACTTCTTAACTTAAACTATGAAGTTTAAAGGGACTAAAAATTATATAATGCTGTCGAACGATGCAATCTGCATGAAATTATCACAGATATTTAAGAGTTAATTAGACAGCACTTAGTTATTTAATGAAATATTAACTTGAACTTTTACTTATCCA